TATTATAATTCTGTAAAATCATTTATCTTACAGTGATGTGTTTTACACGATTTGTTTTCTCGCCCATTTAAGCGATTGTCCTCGTATCTTAACAATCGCAATTTGACGACTAGCGACAATATTAAATGAAATAATTATATCTTTCTGACAATTTCATATTTATTTAACAATATTAATGCTATAACGGAGATAATGTAATATGAAAAAATTGCTTCTCTCAATGTTTTAAATAAGTCATGACTCGACTTTACGAATATTCGTATTTATTCTTACCCACTCCTTCTACGTCACGTGGCTTTTATCAACGCTTTCCATCTTTATTCATCTTTATTATATTATTCATAGTCCATATTTGACCGTAAAATTTTATCGATAAGCTAAGTAATCGCCCTTTAATGACATAATAATAAATCTGTTTAAAAAATTCAAGATAACAAGCAAGATGCTGCATTGTAAATAATGATGAAATTTCATAATCTAACACACCCAAACAGCAACAATATTTACACATAAGATTATTCTATAATTAAATTATTCATAAAAGTGCCGTGATAATGCATGGGAGATTACAAGATTACAAGTCGCGCGCTGCATCGTATTATCAAATATTTTATCCATTGGAAATGCAGACTTTCGATTAAAGTTTCGGTTAAGTTTTTCCCTTTCGCTCGAATGACTTGGCGTATCCGAGAGAAAATGGAGAGACCAGAAAGAATATCGCGCATCCTATATACCTGCATGCGCGAGCCCTTTCAATGCGTGTAAAATTAGGACTCTACTACAACGCGACATTTCTACATTTTCACAGTCGATCGCCGTGTTTCCACCACCGCTCCGCTCTGTAAAAAATGTCCCTCGAAGCATTATAAGAGCGTTAGAAATGTCAAGGGAAGGGTCGTTAATCCTCAACGACCGGAACAGGTTGCCAAGGATGAAATTGGTACGATTGCGCCTAGAGCGTAGACAGACGACTGTACCGAGCTTGTGCGCCGACATTGTTTTCTTTTTTCAATGCTGACCGAGGAGGGGCTCGGCATTGCAATTTAAACTTTATTACTATTTTACTGTGTGTCCGTGTCATTTCGACTCAATGGGCTTCTTTCAACTCACGTTTTTCAGATTACAAAAATGCATTGTAAAACGTTTGTAATTGGAGAAATTATGAACTATCGACAATCTTATCGACACGTACATATTCAATTTTTGCATTTATTTCCAAACTGTCAACGTGCTGATAAGCACCGATAGGCATTTACGTACTAAAACAATAATGCAATAATAACAAAGCAACTAAATGTTATAATATATTTTTTGTATAAATTATTATTATCATTGATATTGTAATAAGACATTAGGTCATTTTACCTACAGGATTTTCTTAGTAATTATTGTGCGTTTTCGCCTCTACTGCATGACAACAATCGCTAAGTTTTTCATTGTATAATTACGTTATAATGAACTATATGAAATTTGAGGCTCTTAAATGATTGGTTAGACTAGGTTATTTACTAGAACAATAAATCATGTTATCATTTTTTCAAAAAACTGAATAATCATATTATATTCATTTTATGGTTCATACATTCCTTAATGCAGAATCTTTAATCTGTATGTTTGGTGTGTAATTATAGTGTTTACACGATGTTTACATTGTAACCATTTTCTTATGTTTAAATTGTTGAAAAACTTTTTTTACAATTGTCACAACATAGATATTAATAATTTATGTATATATATATATTTTATTATTACGACAAACAAGATAATGTTTTCATGTTTACTTACATTGTAAAGTAGTTAATAAAGTAATAATTTCCATGTATATTATTAGAAGCAACCAAACAATATTTTAATACTTTAATATTTTCTTTACTCAATCAAACAGTAAGATTTTTACGTATCCTGTAAATTACTGTTTTGAGAGCAATTATAAATCAATGAAAATAATAATTAAAGCTTCCATTTATTACGCTAAATATATATATATATATATATATATATATATATATATATATATCGGATTATTTTATAATAAGATTGAATTAAATCACTGGCAGAATTAAAGATACATTTATTATCGTTAATTGGTTAATTTGCAGAATTTATACATACAACAAAGTTTATTCATTATATTTTTTAATGATATAATTTCATATTTTAATGAATTGCACGTACGTAACGTTTTCTTTACACGATCTATTTTTTTTTCTTCTTAAAATTAAAATTAGTTTGAAATATATACGTAAAAAATATGGACATAATATGGATTATAATGAATTATAATTTTAGTTACGGGTTTAGTTTGATATCGCTGCGTATAGCTGCATATTGATATTATTTTTATAATAATTTCCATCGATATTCAAGTAATATACTGTAAAATATATAAAATAACTTTGAGATTCAACGAAAGAATTTTAGTTTTTCACTTTACCAATAAGTATACAATTTTTACCTCCAAACTAAATATATGAAAAATCTGAAACGGTAGCTGAACATCGCACTGAAAAAATCTACCTTCGTTTCAAAATCGTCTCAAAAAAAAAAAAAAACAAAAAACAAAAAAAACTTGAAACATTAATTCCAACCTTGGCCTTAAAACGAAAAACGCTGTAGATGAGGTTCCCAGAAATTCACGCGATCCACTCAAATAGAACATGGAGTAACCACCGTAATCATAAGATCGTGAGAAGGGGGGGAGAGAGAGAGAGAGAGAGAGAGAGAGAGAGAGAGAGAGAGAGAGTGAGTGAGAGGGGGTTGTGGAGGGTGGGGCGGGGGATGCTAAAAATTCGCGAAAGACAAAAAGATTTAGCCGCGACAGCGGATGTGTCGTATTCTCTTCATATGCGTCAGTGTGATATTTCTTCTCTCTTTCTGTGGATGCTGCAGTGAGCCACTACCTAACCCACTTTACGAACAGGTTTGTGTATTCGTTCCTCTGCTGCTTCTGCCAGTCGTAACGGTGATCGGCCAAAGATATTAACCCGAGTATCGTGTGGAGCCAGTGTGCGTGAACCCACGCACAGACGCATCCGCGCATGCATGCGTGTGCCCCTGCATCTACACTGAATAATTTTTAACGCTACATTATTATGTGTGTTTTGCATATTTTGCATGTTTTTGTTACTAGTGACTAATTTAGCAGGTGGAATGGAATAATAACGTTGTTTGTGAATTTAAACAACCGCGATGATGTTAGTTAATAACAATTTGAGGTAAGATATTTATTAAATTAATAAGAGCGAGGGCATTTTAAATCGTCGGCTGAACGTTGATAAATATAGTTGTATTTAAACAAAAATTATAGGTCTGATATGTATGTTGTTATGCAATTCAATCCAAACATTTTCTCCAAACACTTCAGAGTACTTCAATGCAAAGAATTAAATTTTAATAATGGAAATTAAGTGTCCGAAAGATTAATCTTGCTTCCCGTATGACATACCAGGGTGAAAGTAATCGATTTTTTAATAGTGACGATTTATCGTTTATATGTGTATCAAACGTCGACGTATACAAATTACAAATCCCTTATTAAATAAAATACTTGCGTAAAAGTTGTACTTGTTAAGACAACTTAGAATATCATATCTGCTTAAATATTTGCAATAGATGAACTAGTTTTGAAATTTTGCACTTTATTATTACATGTTGTAAGAAATTATTATGATATAAGTATGCTAATTAAATGCAATCGTTAAAATTAATTGCATACGATAGTATTTGCTAGAAACACCGATGAAACTCTTTAAACGTAAACGTAGACTTTATTATATAAAATGGTCAGTTAGAAATTACAAATTTATAAGTCATCGTCGTTTACTTCGATCAATAAGATTAACGATATTACATATATTTGATTAGATTCTCATTATTAACACTAAAATTAATGCCACGTTGAGTTTTCACTTTTGATCTTAATTGAATGATGAAATCGTTTCGATCGACTTAATTACCATAAAACACATTTACAGAAGTAACAGACACAGTAAGCCTTATTACAATAGCAAGCCAATCGTATTTTCACGATTTAAGCCCTACACGCAGATCCATTGTAATATAAGATATTTTCTCACAAATAGACGCAATTAGTAAGCATTCTTGCATTTCTATCCAATCGAATATTACATTATAATAAGCCGAAAATGCATCGATCGTTTCATTTTAATCCACAATCTGCTGTTAGTTAAATCACTACGAATTTGCTCAACTAGAAATTCTAACAGTACTTGCATGAAAGTGAGATCACGTGTAAGCATTACAATTTCAGATTAAATCTCAAATTCAATTCGAATCTCATTCTCGTATTATAAATATGAATTCTCGTTTAATGTATTCGTTTGATTTGCAATCGAATGCTTTTTACGTCTTGTAATCATTAAAGTTAAATATTCCTTTTGCCCTTTTACCAAGATATTTTTAATAATGTTCTAATATTACGATTAAATAATTATGAAAGAGGCATTGATATTTTTTACTTTACAATTTTATGTTTAATTTTATTATAATTATTTAATTGAAACATTTATATTATTACGGTGGCAAAACGAATGTAAGCGTAGGAAAGATACTCCTTAATTGTCTCAATTATATATAATACTTTCTTTTTTTTTTATTCGATTTCAAAAGATCTGATTTTCTTATATAAGAATTTGCATCATATTTTAAGTTGTGTATTATAATATTACACTTGGGACTCGATTATAAAACTTGATATTATTACTTTGTGAATTTAAAAGTCGTACAATAATATCCATTACTTTATCATTAGTTTGCAATAAATACGTAATTAAAATTTTCATATTTTCATTATTATAACATAATGAGAGAAAATGTAAATGAAAATGCAGAAATGCAGAAACATTATGAAAACATAATAATAATAAAAGTTGTAAGATGTCGAACGAGTGCCATTACTCTATTACCTAACAATAATGATAATTATTGTGTTAAGCGCAGAACGTGAAAGCAATGAAACAAACATTTTTTTTTTATTTTTTAGGTAGCGAGCCGACAACCACTGCTTGAGAGATGGTCATTGTTACTCGGGTGAGTATAGCCGTCGCATTATTTCGTAAGCCCTAAAATGTATGATATGAAGGAAACGTGGATCACGATCTATCGGATTACGCGCAAGAAATCATCGCGCACTTTACGGTCGTTGCCAATGATTACTTTTGCCACTTAAAACTTTCGCGTGCGCGACGTTGGCAGACGGCAGTTTTGGTGCCCCTAACTCGGTCAGTAGGAATCTGTGACGGGTGAAAATGTTTATGAACCCCAACGAAGGCACCAATGATGTTCAAGCTCTTTACATTCACTTGCGTAAATCCATTAGACAGTGTTGCAATCCTTATTGGGAGATATCCTTCCTTATCGAATCTACCTAGTAAAAATACAAGCGAGTACTCACGTCGCAGGGATAATAGAAATTCAATAGACCAAACCTATTTCAATTGTCAAGGTCAAAGTATCTAGTAAATAATAAGTGCTTTGATAACAGATTCTTCGATGTTTATAACTTTCACTTTATTAATATTCAAATGGTAAATAATATCGCTTGCTATTTACGCAATTAGTATTGTGAATATGCATTAATTATCTTTATTTTTCATCATAATTTGTAATGAATCGTTATAAGTAAATTACTTCACTGAGTATCGATAAAGCATAATCTGTTATCCCGTCCATATATTTACTAATAAATTGAGATTTTAATTGATCATCAATTAATTTCACGTATAATATTTAAGATTTCAATTACGTGATTACAAAGAAAATTTGAATGTAATTTCATTGACATACTGGTCTACATTACTTATTGCAACTGAATGTTAAATCAATTTTTCATTAGGATAATTGATATTATTTGCAAATGCTCGTGCTTAAGGAGAAGACTTTACGGTATATTATTTTGCTTCTTCTCTTATTTTTATCTCTAGCGTAATCCAATGAAAGTATGATTTATTTCGCTTGCTCTCTGATGTTCTCTATAAAGAAATGCCATACAATTTTTGTAGTTCTTTGATGTATAAACGCAATCGATTAGTTTATCAATTTTTCCTACAATACATTTTCTCAGAAGTAATATTAAGAATCTACATTAAGGATATTTAATACAAATTTTACCGTAACCTCCTTTCGCTTGTCATTTTTAGTGTCATAAATTTCAAGTTATTAATATTAACTGTTAATGTAAAATCTAAAAAGGAACATAGTGAAAGTTTAATAATTAAACAAATTTATAATTGATGCATCAAAAAAAAAAAAAAAAAACTCTATTTGTTTTTTTTAAATATTAAAATATTTTACCGTTTATTTTTGTAAACATTTAAAAATATTATAGTTACATATATTATAAAATACTTTAGGCTCACGCTCATTTAAGATTTATAATAATATAAATAAAACCTAACTTCATTCTCTACTGCAAATCCATCTCACGTATTAAATTTATGCAAAGGAAATAAAACAAAGTATAGATTACAAATTTGCATGTATATAATTTATGCTAATACGAGTGGTTAATAGGTATCTACGAGACACAGAGACAACATGTGTAAGAAGGATAATAAAAAACTTTTCTGTATGAATTGAATATTTCATTCAATCAACTTAAGTTGATTTAATTTATTTGTTGTCCACGTTATGTAAATTTGCATCATGTAAATTTACAAAATTAGTCAAAATGATTTAAAAGTCTTTTATATGAATGTTAATTTATAATGAAATCGATATAGTTATTTATATATCATCAATTTATAAATTATATTAAACTTAATGAAATTTAATTCAAAAGGCATTATAAAACATATGACAGACAGACAGAGAGAGAGAGAGAGAGAGAGAGAGAGAGAGAGAGAGAGAGAGAAATATTTTAAATATTTTGCTCATTGAGTAAATATTTTATTAATTGTAGGAATTATTTATTATTACATTATTTTTATTCCAACTGTTTTACACGCACTAATACTGTAATAAAATTGTTGCTATTATTCATAAAAAAAATTAATTAAATTACACCTTTTTATTGAATTCAAATAAAATATAAAAATTTATTAACTATCAATTCACATACAATAATTCTTATTTAAAAATTATACATTAATTAGAAAATATAATCGAACCTTTTCCTTTTTTTAATGACAATTATTTAATTAAGTTCTGGTATAAAAAAAAAAAAATATATGCATTAAATTATTGTCTTGTATATAAATTTTGTACTAAGAAATTTCATAAATTAAACATATACTCTACTGATTTTATAAGAATTGTATAAAAATTTTTAATGTTCCGTTTGCTTCATATAATATCACAGACCTTGTAACTTAAGGTAAATGCCGTTTACTTATTTATGGTAGTAATTTTTAACGAGTGATTATTATGATTATAATGAAATTTAAGACATTTTTAACAATAGAGATGATGGCAAAAATGATAATTCAGTGAAAGGAAATTATTCATAATTGTTGAGAAGAAATATTGTTAAATTAATCCGCGATGCACAAAGTGTCAACGCCAACCTTCTTGGAAAAACGTCGTAGCGGATAGATTTTCTGCTACTGTGGCTAAAGTTTACGAGTGCGGAAAAATGAAGTAGCTATTTAGAGTTAGTCTACCTATCGAGGACGTCAACCCGTAAAAGGTAATTTCACGACGGAGTAGACAGTGAAGTCCTGTCGAGTCCTTGTGGAAGATCTGTTTCAACAGCGTGTCAAAACTCTTATTTATCCACTTAGTCGCGCTTACTTTTATCGGCGAAATCATTGCCAATATAATGGAATTGTAAACTGCTCGATATAACTTTATGTTTCATTTTGCTTCTTAATGTGGGAATTTTATTTCTTTCGCTACTTAAATTCTGCCTTAGCTTCTACATAGAATAAATAATGTTAATTCGTTTTTAATGCGTTACAAGATTATGTTGTGGATATCTTTATTGGAATGATTCATCTCATTTGTTTTTTTTTTTTTTTTTTTTTTTTTTTTTTTTATTGAAAATCTGATGGAATATTAATGCATTGTATACATTAAAATATTGAATTTATGTTTGCAATAGGATCAGGAGAAAGAAAAGTGGATAATGTATTAAATACAGGAAATATGATATTTAGCATATTTTTTTTACATCTTTACATGTAAATATCATCAATTTTATTTTTATAAGTTGGATTTATTCAATTTGAACATTACTCATTGTTTCATCTAGAGTAAAAAATTTTTTTTTTTTTAATTTTATTTACTTATATATATATACACACATATAAAGCTACAAAATTATCATCAGATTGACTTTTAATTTAAAAGTATTTTATTTGAAAAATATACAATTGCCTGTCAGAATGAGATTATTATTTTTTTTTTTTTGCTTGCAACGCCATAAGATTTGTGGTATAAATGTTTTTCAATTTTAAAATACATACTCATGATAATTTATATTCATATATTTTTGATAAATTTCACAATCACCAGTACGAATTTATTAAAACTTTCTATTTTAATTATACATAACCGTTATTTAGCTCAAAATACCTATCTACTCGTCAAATTTATACATTCCAAACATCTACATATTTGAATATTTATTTTTAAACAATTTAATATATCGATAATCAATAAATATATAACTAGAGAGACGATCGATTAGTAAATTCGTACTTATTACGCCTTTATAAAAATAATAATATCTCTATCTATTTTATTATTATTATTATTTGCTTATCATTAGATTGTTCATTGCTTAATATTTAAGAATCTCTAAAATATCGATGGCATTGACCGCAGAATCAAGACATAAATTGAATTTGGCCTTTTTTATTTAGAAAGTGCGTTTTGCGTTGTCGTATCCAAGCTTCCTCCTTCAGTACGCGTCACTTTTTTATTCAATTTCTTATTATTATTCTTAATATATTGAGAATACATGCACACATATCTTGAACTAGTACGATTTAGTTGGAATAGTTACAACAAGCAATGATAAGATTTAGTCACTAAATATATATATATATATATATTTGGACGATATTACATTGTAAAAGCACAGCATTGCCAGATAGAGTAGGGGCACATAAAATAGTAAATAGCTTTTTACACAATTGCACATTTTACAACCACAATGAAGCCTATTTATTCAAACACCGCAATTATCATTCGTATAAAAAAGTAAAGCAACGCCACTTCCAGCCCAATATTGGCTTTTCGCGTTCTACGCAATATAATAAACAATCATTCGTTAAAAAATAAAAGCTGATAGTTTTTCTCATACAGCTACGCGATGCCCCGAGACTGTGGTGGGTCACTAGCGAAATCGAGACTCTTTGTCGAAAATGCACGATACTGAAAACGTGGCCTGCCAACAAAGCGTGTTTTTTTATTTTTTTGACGAGCGCCTCTTCCCTTCCCTTCCAAAAGCCACAGAGAGAGAGAGAGAGAGAGAGAGAGAGAGAGAGAGAGAGAGAGAGAGCGGGAGAGCCGAGCTGAACAATTGGGCCGCGTACAAATATCAAGTGCACATTGTTCGTGTGGGTGCGTTTGTGCTCTATCGCGAGGGTCCGAGCGACCGAGTGGCCTCTTCCACAGAGCGACGCCCTGCTTTTTCACCTACACCAGATCCAACTCTACCGCGAGGAATTTCGCCTCTTTTTTATGATTCCCCCGTCATTTTTAATATCTCACGGCTTGACCATCGCGTCTATTGTCAGGGCCCTACGACCGTCCATCCCTACGCAATACCTGAATAACAATTTCCGGACTACAAATTCAATTCCCGACTACTTACTTTTCAATAACTTTATCATATTTTAAAATGTACTCTCGGTAACTCGAGTAGGCCGTGTCGAATAAAATTTTAATATTCATTATTGAAAAATCTTTTCGGTCGTTTCATCGAATCTTTAAATTCTACCGACAAATATAAGCAGCCCGAGTCTCCTGTTCCTTCTTATGTTTATGAAACAATAAATAATAAAAAGCTTATTTCGTATTATTGACCTTCGGGTGTTTACTAATTGAGTCGTTATGGCTGGTAAGTTGACGTGTTGTATATGCTGCTTCTACTGGTTTTCCTTTCTTTCTAAACATACATACGGTTTAGAAGACATTAAAACTGGTTTTCAGAATTAAAACGAAAAAAGCATGCTCGCGGAGCCGAATAAAGGTTGGAAATTATTGTAAAAAAAAAAAAAAAAAAAAACGAAAAAGAAATAAAAGAAAAAAAAAAGTTATATAGAAATTGAATGCCAGTGAGGGAATTATTTGATAAAAATTACCGTAACGTATATCCTCAAAATTGACATGGTTTATTGAACTGTTTTACCGTTCTGACAAGGTAATTATTGAGATAGAGGAAAGTAAGAATTTGTAAATGCTCCTCCAGTCCACGGTTATCAGCTCGACATTTTTTCATAAATATGAAAAAAAAAATAAAAAAAAAAAAAAATAAAAAAATAAGAAGAAGAAAAAAAACGAAGGAAAAAACCCCCCAATATCTCCATGCGTATAAATGCGATTTTTCCTCATTTGATTCAATATAGATTTTCGTAAATCATTGTACGTGAAAGAAGTAATTTCATGACATTTTACTTTATGCGACGCCTATACTCGGAATACAAACTAAGGGAGAATAAATGAAGTTCTTCCGTTATAACGTTCAAAAGATATTTAAATATTTAGCGGGCATTCGTATTTTTCCTCGTAAGTTGTAATATGGCTCGTTGCGTAGGCAACCTCCTCTACACTTTGCTAATGTCTGCTGCTCTCGCATGTACGTGTGAAGCCTTGCAAAAGCCGGCGTCCCACTACCCACGAACGAGCTCTTGATTTATAAACTTTTATCATTTTATCAGGCGATTATGTCATGTGGAGAAATGCCGCAGCCACTCGCGCAGCTCGCGACACGCAACTCTCCATCTACCCGACTTGGACTTTCGTACACATTCATCTCCGGCGCTTCCATATCAATAAAAGATATTTACATGTGATTTTGTTTGGCCTATTGTCTCAATTTGCTCGCCACTACTTTACGTCACAATTCTGCGGATATTTTATCATTTGTTGAGTTGTTTCGCGTTGAATATCTGTGATAGACTCGATGCTTTATTGATTTTGTAACGAGAGATTAATTTATCAATATTGGCGACGATAAGAGCTATCTCGCTGAAAATTGCCGTACATTTATTCTTTATTTATTTGAAATTGTTTTCATTGCTTTTAGTACTGTAATCCACACAGTTTAATAGTTAAATAATTAATTGGCAGCAATAAGAAAGAAGCAAAAAAATATATATATATATATATATATATATATATATATATACATTGAAATTAATGTTTTGTATACAAATGTAAAAGAAAATAATTGGAAAGTTTAATTAATGTGTTGTTGCAGGCATTTTAATGACTTTAAATACTTTTTTTAAACTTAAAAACGATACTATGTAAAGAGAACTCGTATGTCGTATATGTCATTAGAAAGTCGAGCGTAACAATCGAGACGGTTCGTTTTTTGTTTTTTTTTTTTTGTTTTTGTTTTTTGTTTTGAATTATTTACAAAAGGTCGAATTATTAGCGTAATTTATAAATAGCTTACATAAACACTATAATTAATCAATTATTAAAGTAACGTGTGCCATACATTTGAACCATGTTAGAAATTTTTCGACACAAATTAATTCGACACTTGAATTATTCATACTTTGTCATCTTCAAGTTGTCTCAAAGTCGATGAATAACAAGTATTAAAAATCATGAAATTTACATACATATATATGTATATGAACTCGAATTACGTACTTTCGTATTAAACTTGTAAGACTACGAATTTAACTTTACGTTCTAGTTATATGTAGTTCGAACAAAAGAAAAGGATAAATATTTCAGTTTGATGAGATAGAGTCGATTTTTTTAAGTCAGTAATTCAATAAAAACTGAGGCTTTTTTGTTGTTGTAAGTTTAATAAAAATTGAATGCCAACGTGAGAACGATCGTAAATAGGAGAGAGTTCTTCCTACGTGTTTCATTTATATAAAACATCGTATTCTGTAGAGTAATTAAACAATTTATTTGAAAATTTTAGAAAAGACATCGACACATGAAATACGAAGTATTATGACTCAGGCAATAATGTTATATTATGCATAAAATTTATATATTTTCACACTTGATACTTCATTAAACATACATTTAATATTGAGCTTGTATTCAGTTACATTTGTAAGAAAAATTTTATAAGCAAATTGAAAGTAATATTACACCGTTTGTATGTCCAGTGGTTACTTAATCTTATAAATCCTTATGAAACACATAAACTTTTTATTGTAAGCAAATAATTTATTAGCCAAACGTGCGCTTTTAATATCAATTGATTTGCAATTCCCTCTCTCATTACAATCAAATATCTTACAATGTATACCCTTCCATCACCCTTAGTCGTTATGTACATTCACAATCGCAATAATCATAGCAAAAAATTACATTAAAATACAATAAAAAGTTATTATTATACTTTTTTTTTTTTTTTTTTTTTTTTAATAATTATCGTCACAGTTAATAAGCTTATGTTACTTTTAGGGCGACTATATATGGATCGAGCCCGTCTCAGGAAAAGAGTTTGATGTAGCTATCGGCGCCCGAGTCGTTTCTGCGGAAGGCAGACGAATTCAAGTCAGAGACGACGATAATAAGGTATTCTTTCGAATAAAAGACCTTTGCGCTAACAAGTAAACAGAGAATATCCAGTAGCGGACAGTTTTTGTCAATTTTAATTGGGTTAGATTACTCGAGGTGCTTGTAACATAAAAATAATCGTGTGTCGCTTCTCAACTTAACGATACATTATGCTGGATATACGGGAAGTTGAAACAAATTTTAATATTTGTACTTTGGTAACAAAAATGTGATACGAAAGATTTAGATTTAAGAACATTTACTTACGACCATATGTCTTTTAATATTCATCATAGAAACAATTTTTTTTTTCAGTACTGAATAAAGTATGCGTATAAAGTATATCTAACATATATCGATAAGAAAGAGATTTAAGTTATATTGCAATGAGTACATAAAATCGTAATATTACGATTGAACTGTACGGTAATCACAGTGATTTAAAAAATCATTAAATTAAAAAAGTAAAAAAATTTCTTACTCATTACAATTGCATAAAATTCGAGATATCCTACAGCCATTGTTATTAAGTGAAACTAAATGCCATAGTAATTTACGATCAATATTCAGTCGTTGAGAATCTTTATTTTTAAATAAACTTTATCACTTATTATCAATATTATCAGTCTTATAATAACAAAAAAAGGATGTAGATAATTTCATTAATTATCGATGTAAGATACACCTTTATATATTATTTTTTAATTACATTGCCGCTTAAAAATGCTTACTCGATGCTCAATGCAATTTTCATAATAACTGTATTAAAAGCAAAAAAAATCCCAATTTAAAATCCATGGGATAAGTTTATTAATCGAAGACAGTCAAAATATTATTTTAATTATTTATTATTTTAATTAATATATGTTAATTGAACGTTCGTGATATCTGACTGATTTCATTTAATGCATTATATTTTGGTTAATGGTTAATGAACTGAAAAATGGCTTATTAAAAGGATATCGTGTACTCCGAAATCTTCATACAACACATAACTAAACGATCTGTAGGCATTTAAAATTATTCTATTAGATCGATGTTAAAAGATTTAAAGACGATGATATTTTAAAACTAAACCATAACTAAAACAGGAGCAATGGCTAACACCGGAGAGGAGGATAAAGGCAATGCATGCGACGTCGGTACAAGGCGTCGAGGACATGATAAGTTTAGGCGACCTCCACGAAGCCGGAATCCTTAGGAATTTGCTTATACGCTACAATGAGAATCTCATTTATGTAAGTTAAATATTTTCATTCGTATGGTATGAGCCACGCCGAGAAAAGTTTTATAATTAAAAAAAAAAAAAAAAAAAAAAAAAAAAGAAGGAATTCGCTCCATAAATGCAATTTTTATGTGCAATGTGATTTTTGGCAGACTTACACCGGTTCGATTCTCGTTGCTGTTAATCCCTATCAGATTCTGCCGATCTATACAGCCGAGCAGATAAAATTATATAAAGATCGTAAGATCGGCGAGCTACCTCCTCATATATTTGCTATTGGCGATAACAGTTATGCTCACATGAATCGTTATGGGCAAGATCAATGCATCGTTATAAGGTATTCTCATACATGTAATCAATATGTAGTCGTATAAGGAAAAAGGACTGACGGTGAAAATTAATTAGGGAGTATGATGTAGAAGCATTTACTGTCTCAATGATTATTATTAGACGGTAGATTTATTGAAATTAAAAGAAAAAAAAAATTTTTGTCTACCTAAATTTAGTCGTGTGATTTTTAATTACAATTAATAATACGATAAATAATAAATGAGTTATTCGATTAACAATTTGAATAGTCTGTTCAGTGAGAAAGCCTTTTTCCATCTTACTTTAAACATTCATCAAAGATTATTTTCATTTAAAATTGCCACATATATATTCGTCTATTAATGTAAAAGGTATGAATTACTATCGACAAAATAATTATTCATATTTGCGGTATATCAGTTCGTAATGCTTTGTGATTTTTATTTTTTTATATAAATAATCGATCGTTAACATTCAATAAAACGTTAGATGTAACATATTATTATTCACGGTATGAGATAAAATTTTCGATAAAAAAAGGAAAATTTTAATACGATTAATTTATGTTACAGTGGCGAAAGTGGAGCGGGCAAAACAGAAAGTACAAAATTAATTTTACAGTATTTGGCGGCTATTAGCGGAAAGCACTCGTGGATCGAGCAGCAGATTTTGGAAGCAAATCCTATACTCGAAGGTAAGTAGGAGGATTTCGATTATCATTGTATTTGTGCGTTTATGCAACATACTAAAGTCTTCTGTTTGCAATTCTTTTCAGCTTTTGGAAATGCAAAAACGGTCAGAAATGATAATTCGTCCAGGTTTGGAAAATATATCGATATTCATTTCAGCGAACAAGGAGTTATAGAAGGAGCAAAAATCGAACAATATCTATTGGAAAAATCACGAATAGTCTCACAGAGCTTAGACGAACGAAATTATCATATTTTTTATTGCATGCTGGCTGGTTTAATGAAAGAAGAAAAACAGAAACTTGAATTAGAAGAAGCATCGACGTATAAGTACTTAATAGGTGTATGTATAACTGAATTGCTAATTTTCTTATCATTTTTATTAAATTACAAATGTGAGCGCAGATAAATTGGAATTATAGAGTAAGTTGAAGAATTAATTTGAAAATTAGTTTGTATAGTTTTTGTGCGCCATTTATGCCTCTATAATGTCTTAGTGCTTATCACGTAATTAGCTACGGCAATTTACTGCACGTAAATTTATCATTTAGCCATCTCTCATTGTTCGGTTAAATTTTCTTCAATAAATTTAAATTCCATAAGATATCAATAATAATACATTATTTTAATGTCTTAATGCGTTTAGTAATAGTAATGATAAGATTACATTAGTTGATGCAAATTTTTTCACTACATTACACGAAATCATAATAATGTTTATTTTTCAGGGTGGAAGTATTACGTGCGAGGGTCGCGATGATGCCGCTGAATTTTCGGATATTCGCTCGGCAATGAAAGTTTTACTTTTTAGCGACAGCGAAATATGGGAAATTCTAAAGCTACTCGCGGCTGTGTTGCACATGGGTAATGTAAAATACAAAGCTACGGTTATTGGTAAGTTGATAGGAAATTCATAAAACCATTAAAATTATCGCTCGGAGCAATTAAAATGTATATTATGTTATTCAATTCTTAGACAATCTCGATGCAACGGAAATACCCGAGCAAACTAATGTTAAAAGAGTTGCTCAGTTGCTGGGCGTACAAGTTCAGTCTCTCATCGATGCTCTGACACGTAGAACAATTTTCGCGAGCGGTGAGACTGTTGTACGTATCACATAAAATACCCATCTTATATATAAATATCTTGAAATTATTACAGGATCAAATGATTTTCATTTTATTTAAAATATTAATTTCATTTAACATATTAACGATATGTTCACTAATTTGATCGAATTGTCTGCATTTCTATGGCAATTTTATCGATGTTATTACTTTGTTGTTTATACGTTTCTTAGGTTTCTACATTATCGCGAGATCAGTCGGTAGATATTAGAGATGCTTTTGTAAAAGGCATTTACGGCAGATTATTTATACACATAGTGAAAAAAATTAATGAAGCAATATTCAGGCCAAAACATGCATCTCGAAGCGCTATTGGAGTACTCGATATTTTTGGCTTTGAAAATTTTAATCATAATAGTTTTGAACAATTTTGTATTAATTACGCGAATGAAAATTTGCAACAGTTTTTTGTACAACACATTTTTAAATTGGAACAAGAAGAGTATAACCACGAAGGGATAAATTGGCAGCACATAGAATTTGTTGATAATCAAGACGCATTAGATTTAATTGCCATAAAACAATTAAATATAATGGCACTGATCGACGAAGAGGCGAAGTTCCCTAAGGTAAATTATATCTCAATATAACGGTAAAGAATTCAATTTAATTTAATGCGAATGGCGATTCTTGTAGGGTACAGATCAGACAATGCTTGCGAAAATTCATAAAACTCATGGAACACATCGAAATTATTTGAAGCCTAAATCCGACATTAATACTTCATTTGGTCTAAATCACTTCGCTGGTGTCGTATTTTACGACACACGAAGTTTTCTCGAAAAAAATAGAGATACGTTTAGCGCCGACCTCTTACAGTTAATACACATATCGTCGAATAAATTCCTGCAGACCTGTTTCGTAGAAGATATCGGTATGGGATCGGAAACAAGAAAAAGGGCTCCCACGCTTTCGACGCAATTTAAAAAATCTTTAGATGCCCTAATGAAAACTTTGTGCAATTGCCAACCTTTTTTCATCCGATGTATAAAGCCCAATGAATATAAAAAGCCAATGGTATACGATTTTTTGTGTTAAAATTGCTTGATTATTTGGAATAAAAACAAAACATGGACGTTTTAATGTATGATTAATGATGCATTGCAGATGTTCGATCGAGGCCTTTGTTGTCGACAATTGCGCTATTCTGGAATGATGGAGACAATAAGGATAAGACGGGCAGGGTATCCAATTCGTCATTCTTTCTCGGAGTTTGTTGAACGATATCGGTTCCTTATACCCGGTATACCTCCAGCACACAAGGTAAGCGAGCTATTATTTGAACTATCATTAATTATCATCAACAGTCAAACAATACGAAATAAATGCCATTAGTTGTTATACAGTATTTGAAATTAAAATTAATACTGCATCCAATGTAATATTGATGAATGAAAACCCGTATTGATATACGAACAAGTGACGTTTATTGCCTAATCTAACAGTTATAAACTAAATTCCTTCGCAGACTGATTGCCGATATGCAACGACGAAACTCTGCCATGTGGTACTGGGCAGATCGGACTATCAGCTCGGCCACACCAAAGTATTCCTCAAAGATGCCCACGATTTGTTTCTCGAGCAAGAGCGCGACCGCGTGCTCACACGAAAAATTCTCATTCTTCAAAAGAACATCCGCGGTTGGGTTTATCGGCGACGCTTCCTACGCATGCGAGCCGCTGCCATAAAAATCCAGAAGCACTGGCGCGGCTTCGCACAACGTCAGCGATACAAGCGCATGAGGATTGGCTACATGAGGCTACAAGCCCTCATTAGGTCTAGGGTACTGTCGCACAGGTTCCGGCATTTGAGAGGTCATATTGTAGCGTTGCAAGCAAGGGCGAGGGGCCACCTGGTGAGGCGCGCCTACAGGAAGAAAATGTGGGCGATAGTCAAAATACAGGCGCACGTGCGGCGAATGATAGCCCAGAGGAGATACAAGAAGCTCAAGTACGAGTATAGGCTGCACATAGAAGCTTTAAGGCTGAGAAAAAAGGAAGAGAGGGAGCTAAAGGATCAGGGCAATAAGAGGGCCAAAGAAATTGCTGATCAACATTTCAGGGTAAAGGCCAAACAATGCTTTTCCAAACAAAATTTACGCTTACATTTTGATAAGCAATATCGCTTATCGGCGCTGGATAATAATGTGCTAAATTCCATGATACGTACGAGTGGCGATTATGTTTTTGAATTTGATTTGAATCGACGACCTTAACACCCTATAGCGTTTTAAAAGATTTGTAAATATCGCGTTAATGCATCATAATTTCAAAGATGTCATTATAAAGTTTGCGTAATCGATAAGCGTTCAATTACATTGTAAGTATTGGTAATTTTTATTTATAATTTGGTCGTTTTAGGAACGTATGCAAGAATTAGAAAGGAAAGAAATCGAAATGGAAATGGAAGACAGACGTCGGATGGAGATAAAAAAGAATCTTATTAACGACGCTGCGAAGAAACAGGATGAACCCGTGGATGATAGTAAACTCGTCGAGGCGATGTTTGATTTCTTACCGGATTCCAGTAGTGAAGCGCCAACACCAGCCAGAGAAACTTCAGTATATAATGTGCGTATCTTTAATAAAAAAAAAAAAAAACACGCGCGCGCGCGCACACACACACACACACACAAATTATCGACCGAATGTAAGCTTTAATTAATTATACTGTTAATGAAGGATCTTCCCGCGCCCAAAGCCGATCAACAAGAAATCATTAGCCCCATGCAAACAGCATCGGAAGACGAAGAAGATTTGTCGGAATTCAAATTCCAAAAATTTGCCGCAACTTACTTTCAAGGCAATATTACGCATCAGTATTCGAGGAAACCACTTAAGCATCCACTCTTACCTCTACACACACAAGGGGATCAATTGGTTTGCTTGCTTTATTATTTGTGTTCATTTTCTATTCTTTTCTTTTTCTTTTTCTTCTATTCTTTTTTTCTGTATTTTGAAACAATTAACATGTAAAATATTTGTCATGTTGTATTTTTAGGCCGCACAAGCTTTGTGGATTACAATTCTACGATTTACAGGAGACTTGCCAGAACCCCGATTTCATACGATGGACAGAGACAATACTTCGGTCATGTCGAAGGTTACCGCTACACTTGGTCGGAATTTCATCAGAAGTAAAGAATTTCAAGAGGCACAGTTAATGGGAATGGATCCTGTAAGTACAAATTAAATGCCTGTTATCGTTCGACAACGGCGAGCGAAGCTCATCCTTGAGTTTAGAAAATGTTTCATTAACCAGAAAAGCAAAATCGTATAGTAGATATGCGAGTCATTCAAGTGCATTCGATAATAAAAAGAATTTAATACCTTTTCCCAGCTATACGAACTTTGTATAGAATTTTATTTATTTATTTATTTTTTTTTTTTTTTTTTTTTAAATCATTCGGATAGCTTGTACAAAGCACCAATTACTCAAATCACTTGTAACATTCAGGAATCATTCCTCAAGCAAAAACCACGATCTATCCGCCACAAGCTCGTGTCCCTCACTCTGAAGCGTAAAAACAAGCTCGGCGAGGATGTTCGGCGCCGACTTCAAGAAGACGAGTACACAGCCGACAGCTATCAATCCTGGCTTGAAGCTCGACCCACTTCGAATCTCGAGAAGCTCCACTTCATCATTGGCCATGGCATACTTCGGGCCGAGCTCCGCGATGAAATCTATTGTCAAATATGCAAGCAACTCACGAACAATCCATCAAAATCCTCCCACGCCCGGGGTTGGATTCTACTCTCGCTCTGCGTCGGCTGTTTCGCCCCTTCGGAAAAGTTTGTCAACTACTTGAGGGCATTCATACGCGAGGGTCCACCAGGCTATGCTCCGTACTGCGAGGACAGATTGAAGCGAACCTTTAACAATGGGACACGCAATCAACCGCCAAGCTGGTTGGAGCTCCAGGCGACTAAATCCAAGAAGCCAATAATGCTGCCTATTACTTTCATGGATGGCAATACCAAAACACTTCTTGCTGACTCGGCGACCACGGCACGAGAATTGTGTAATCAGTTGTCGGACAAGATATCGCTCAGGGATCAGTTTGGTTTCTCTCTGTACATCGCACTTTTCGATAAGGTTTGCTTCGCAATCGCGTAAAAGCGCTCTTATTCTTCAATGAAAATCACATACAAACGTAGTTGTTCTGAAATGATCGGAGATTGAAGAAACGAAGCGCCTAAAGAGTAAATATTGTTATTGTATTGTAGAATTAATCGTCGTACCTTTAGAACTTTATGCCTAAGGTTAAACAGCATTTTTCATAATAAGATATCCATTTCACTCAACAGTCGTATTAAAATAAACATAAATTCATAAAATAACATAAAAACATAAAAAAAAAAAAAAAATTATATCGAAAGTATTTCGTAATAAAACGTACAGAGTTAATCAATGGAATTTAATTTAATTAAATAAAGTAAGGCTTCGTGCAAATTAAGATCCCATTATTTACTCTTAATACGCTAATGTCTTTATGCTGAATGGTTACTCAAGTCTTTAATTCTCCTTCTTCTTCTTCAAGTTCAATAGACAATCGAGTTTTTCTCTATCTATGTTTCACGCCTTAAAACTCTAATTAATAAAAGGATTCATTGAGTTTCGCATCTATGAATTGTTCCAACTAACGATCGAGCGATTTTCTCCTGAAAATATCTCAATTAAGGCATTGCAAAAGAAAAGGAAATTATCTTTCTAAAATTTGAAAAACCATTCGACTAGCCGATCATCTAATAATAATCGTAAAGTGTTTTACACAAGGCAAACAATTGGTCGTGTCACGAGCAATACGTAATAACCAAAAGTTCCCGAGCAGGTTTCGTCGCTGGGCAGTGGAGGCGATCACGTGATGGACGCAATTTCGCAGTGCGAACAGTACGCGAAGGAACAAGGCGCACAAGAAAGGAACGCGCCGTGGCGTCTGTTCTTTAGGAAGGAAATATTCGCCCCGTGGCACGAGCCAACGGAAGATCAGGTAGCGACAAATCTGATTTACCAGCAGGTCGTGCGGGGCGTGAAATTCGGGGAGTACAGATGCGACAAGGAGGAAGACTTGGCGATGATCGCGGCCCAGCAATACTACATTGAATATCACACGGACATGAACGTGGAAAGGTTGTTCACCTTGTTGCCGAATTACATTCCCGATTATTGCTTGACGGACGTCGACAAGGCCATCGAGAGATGGGGTCACCTCGTGTTGCAAGCTTACAAAAAAGTGAGGACATTGTCTTATGTTGTTGTTAAATCTTAATTTCTATATTTTAACGCTCTTTTATTATTATAATTTTCATGTTAGTTTTTTCTGAAATATAGACAATCCAATAGCTAAATTACAATTAATTATAATAATCAACAATGATACAAACGAAATTTAATTCAATTTGGTAAATGCGTATTCAATAGCTATCGCCAATGTCCTAATGGATATAATTAACTGTCTATTAAATGATATAATCGCATAATGTCTGTCTCGTTCTTACATATTCATAACATAAGCATAGGTATCGAATTTCTATAATTGATAAAAAATTAAGGATTAAAGCTACAGTTTAACACAGCTACAGTGTAACGTAATTATACGTAATACAAATATATTTAAAAAATAAAATGTCCAATGCCATATATATATATATATATATATATATATATATATATATATATATATATATGTATATATATATATATATATACACATATATATATTATTCGCAACTATAAATGCATAAACACGTTTTACGTTTTACAGAGTTATTACTTAAAAGAAAAAGTACCTGCTCTTCGAGTCAAGGAGGATATCGTTGGTTACGCAAAATTTAAATGGCCATTACTCTTTTCTCGCTTCTACGAAGCGTACAGAAACTCCGGACCAAATCTTCCGAAAAACGACGTCATCATCGCCGTCAACTGGACCGGTGTTTATGTCGTAGACGATCAAGAACAAGTGCTTTTAGAATTATCATTCCCCGAAATTACCACCGTTTCTAGTCAAAAGTACGCTAGTATTAAGTACAAGATTTCTATCATTAAAAGTAAAATTACATTATCGAAGCGAGAAATTTAATGCACATCACTCACCATCATAAAATCTCATTTACTTCACATTTGAATCAAGCGTTATCATAATTTAATTAATAATTTGTAAAATTATACCTACTTTGCAGAACAAATAAGATGTTCACTCAAACGTTCAGCTTATCGACGGTACGAGGCGAGGAGTTTACTTTCCAAAGTCCCAGCGCCGAGGATATTCGCGACTTAGTCGTATACTTTCTGGAGGGTCTGAAAAAACGTAGCAAGTACGCTATAGCCTTGCAGGATTACAAGGGCGCGGGAGAAAGCTCGACGTTCTTAACGTTCCAGAAGGGAGATCTTATAACGCTAGACGAGGACGGCGGCGACGAGACAGTTTACAATTCGGGTTGGTGCGTCGGTGTGTGTGAGCGAACGGGCGAAAAGGGCGACTTCCCCTCTGAAACTGTTTACGTGCTGCCGTCGTTGTCGAAGCCTCCGAACGATATTTTGGTAAGCCATTTCCTACTTTTCCGCTTCTTCTCAATTTCATTAAACAATAACTGCTGCAATAATTAAATTGGCTATAAACAATACGTTTGACAAAGCGGATAATTGGCTGGAATTTTCCAATGCCTTTCGTAATATAAACGCATTGTGTATCATCTTGGGATTTTGTCATTTTTTGTCTATACTATACGCCTATTTGCATGCTCATACTTATTATTTTATAAACGAATGGATCATTAACGCAATAGTGATGTGAAATAATTGTTACTTACAGTCATTATTCAGTGTTAACGGGAATGAAAATGGACGAAGACTGTATCCTCAACAAATGAATGGCGTTGAAACTCGTGACAAACCGCATACCCTAATGGAATATGCGATCGATCATTTTCGGTATGTATAAAATTCTTTATAAATAATTTTGCGAACAATAGGATTCATTAAAAACAAAACAACAACGACAAAAAACAACCAAAAACAACAAAAAAGAAAAGATAAGAAAAGAAATTGTTCATTTTTAAAGATTTACGTAGGAACGAACGACTACTGTAACACGAATGTAATAATTCATTTCGATGAATTTTCACGAGTTTGATAGCACATACATTAAAATGATTTCACAGCGGGCGTAATTTAAATTTGAAAATTCACCGCACACGCATCTTTTTTATTCTTTTTTATTCTTTTTTTTTTTTTTTTTTTTTTTTTTTTTTTTTTTATTTATTTCTTATAGGCCCCCTCCAAAGAAGACCATGTCAAAAGCATTGACATTAACGACAGCGCGACGAGGGCACCCTGACGAATTATGGCGTCATTCTCGCGAGCCACTGAAGCAGCCGTTGTTACGAAAATTAGTGTCCAAAGACGAATTGGCAGACGAGGCTTGCTTCGCCTTCAACGCCATTCTAAAATACATGGGGGATTTGCCAACGAAGAGGCCGCGCGTCGGCAATGAGTATACGGACTTGATTTTCGACGGACCGTTAAAGAATGAAATTCTCCGGGACGAAATTTATTGTCAAATAATGAAACAGCTGACCGATAACAGGAATAGGCTGAGCGAGGAACGCGGTTGGGAACTGATGTGGTTGGCAACGGGTCTTTTCACATGCAGCCAGAGCCTTTTAAAGGTAAAGTCGTTATTTACCATTATCGCTTACTGTCTTGTGAAACTACTTTATTTGGCGGTCGTGGCGACTCTCTCAACGGCAAAGCAATTAAATATATTCAACTATCGCTGAGTACTGTAAAACGGTTTGTTTGTTGTTTTATGGGAAAAAAAGCGTATGTTGGACAATCATAAGGATACTTAATTAATTAAAAATTTGCGCTCATTGTATCGTAGAGCGTTCGATATAATTTCTATAATTGTTAATCCAATCATTATTCTCCATCAGAAATAATTGAGAATTATATTATCATGTAGGAATTGACATTATTTTTACGGACACGGCGTCATCGCATATCGCAAGATTCTTTGCAAAGGCTACAAAAAACTTTACGAAATGGTCAACGAAAATATCCACCGCATCAAGTGGAAGTCGAAGCAATTCAGCACAAAACTACCCAAATATTTCACAAAGTATATTTTCCAGATGATACGGACGAAGCATTTGAAGTCGACTCTTCAACTAGAGCTAAGGATTTCTGCCAAAATATTGCACAGCGTTTAAATTTAAGGTCTTCCGAAGGTTTTAGCTTATTTGTAAAAATTGCCGATAAAGTTATTTCTGTACCGGAAGGTGACTTTTTCTTTGATTTCGTTCGTCATTTGACCGATTGGATGAGGAAAGCTCATCCCACCAGAGACGGTCAGTTTTTGAACCTAATTATTATAATTATCATAATAATTTATTATTACCAATTGTCAATTTTCTATCGTTATTTTCTATCGATACTTTAGGCTTATCTCCACAATTTACGTATCAAGTATTTTTTATGAAGAAATTATGGACCAATACTGTACCTGGTAAGGATCGAAATGCCGATTTAATATTTCACTTTCACCAAGAACTACCGAAGTTGCTGAGAGGTAATCATTGACAACGATTCATATTGCTTATTCGAAGAGATATTAATTTAATGAATTACGTTTTCATCTAGGATATCATAAGTGTACAAAGGAGGAAGCTTCAAGATTAGCAGCATTAGTATATAGAGTTCGATTTGGAGAAAGTAAACAAGAGCTGCAAGCAATACCGTAAGAAAAAAATAAACGCTATTTCGACATTATTTATTATTCGATTACATAAGATTTTGATCGCACGCGCACATTTTTACGGAAACAAATCTTTCTTTAATTGTAGTCAAATGTTAAGGGAGCTTATACCTGGCGATTTAGTAAAAACACAAAGCTCAAACGAATGGAAACGTTCTATAATTGCCGCATACAATCACGACGCCGGTAATTATAATTCTTCATTACTATAATCGTCTAATCGAGACGATGTTTTCTAAAAATCATTGCATTTTCTTGAAGGGATGAGTCCCGAGGATTCCAAAATAACATTTTTAAAAATAGTCTATCGATGGCCAACATTTGGATCAGCATTCTTTGAGGTAAAGCAAAGCACCGAACCAGACTATCCTGAGCTGCTTTTAATTGCTATAAATAAGCATGGAGTCAGTTTGATTCATCCACAATCAAAGGTAAATATGCCGCTAGGGGTTGTACATTATTTTAAATGAAAAAATTAAAATAAAATTTTTAGGAAATATTGGTGACGCACCCATTCACAAGAATCTCTAATTGGTCTTCCGGTAATACGTACTTCCATATGACAATAGGCAATTTAGTTCGAGGCTCTAAATTATTGTGCGAAACGTCTCTTGGATATAAAATGGATGATTTATTAACTTCTTACATTTCGCTGATGCTTACGAATATGAATAAGCAGCGAACGATACGGATAAAGTGAACGTTTTTGTTTTTTGCAATGATGTTAAATATTTATGCAATCTTTCCTTTTTTTATGTCGTGAAATGAGTATTATAATGCGGCGTAAGAAAAATTATCGTAGAAAGAAAGTTAAATTTAGATCTTGAAATACAAAAATTTTGCGGCAATATATTCTAAATTTCTTTCTTCTATGTTATCGAGACAAGCTTATCTTCGCAATAACATTAAGCATTTCAATTACTTGAAAAAAAAAAAAACACAAATAAAAAAAAAACAAAAAAAAAACAAAAAGAAAAGAAAAAATAAGGCAAAAAAAATAATATTATTAACATAATTAATGAATATGTTACGCAAACATTTTTATCTTTAAAGATTTAAATTTTGGCTTGCGGTTAATTTGTTGAAAAAATTTTTTTTTTGTAAAAAAAAAGTGTTGTATTTGTCACGCTAGGATACTAATTAAAATAATCTTGAAAATATTTAAGAAAAGATTTTGTAATTAAGTTTTATAAAGCAATAATAGCAATACAATGAGAGGTTTTTTCTACAAAGAATCGAGTATTTATACAATCAATATTTGTAAATAATGGTAATAAAGGAAATATAATAAAATTAAACTTTTTAAATTTCTTTTTCTACGTATTATAATACAATACAATATCTTTACGGTATAACTTATATACAAATTTAGAAATAGTTCTTTTATAAAATTGTTAGAATACTGATGCAAGAGTATTATGAGAAAATTAATTTTATTCAATACATACAACTTACTATTTCTATGATTGAGTGAAGTGGTATAAAAAATAAAATCATTCTGTAATTTAATAAAAAACAATTTTATAATGCAATTAAATAAAAACTTATCTATTGCTACTTATTTCATTAGATGCTTACTGATTAAAATAACAGAAAATATTACAAAACCCTATAAGATAATGCTTAAATAAATTTTTGAACACGTATTTCTTCACATATAATGCAATTTTTTGATTCTCTGTACACAATAATAATAATAATAATAATAATAATAATAATAATCATAATCACTTATTTGTCATTCTCATAAGTTCAATATACACACATTTTTTTTTTTATATTATTAGTAACTAATTCCAATAGTTCGTTTCAAATACGAATGATAAAACTGTAAATAAATTAGACATCTATTAATTTATAAATATATTAGATTTGATTTTAAATGAATTATTATTAATTATGAAAGCGTGTTTTTTACCCCTTATTTCATATTTATCGGCTAATTAATTATTTTAATATTCAATTAATGAAATAAAAATTATCGTTCACGGTTAATTGTTAATGTGTAAATAAATTGGGAAACAAGTTTTATTACATAAATTAAAGTTTTATCGAATTTCATGCAAAATAAGCATTGTATGCATACCAATATGCATTGTACATAAAGAATTAATAACTTATAATAGCGTAAGCTATACAATAATAAAATCAACAATAAGAATAAACGATCAAATATAAATATCTTTAATGAAATGTATGAAAATCAAATTTTCAACAAAATATATATTAAAAAAAAGTAAAATAAAAATTATATGTATTATAATTTATATTGAGCTTAAGTTGTATAGTTAACAAAATCATTTAAGTAAATGAGGCAATTTTAGATAAACTTTATTGAATGTTACGAGCGCATTTAAAAATACGCATATAATTAGCATTAGAAAGAAAATATTGCTGGAAAACCAAAATTAATTATAATAATTTTACCGCGAACCTTTCGTTTATTGTCCAAACTTTTTCCAACTGAATGAATTAAAAGTATTATTTTTGTTACTTTTCAACGTTATTTGTTATTATTTAAATTAATCACCACACAACACATTCGGCAAACTATACATTTATTAAGTTATAAATTTATTTAGTACGTTGACGGGCGTAAGAAAATGTATTATGAGAATTCTGAAACGACTGAATGTCTGACGTATCATTTTAATATTCTTGAATAAGCGTGTGGACCGAAAACGTAGCAATTATTTTAATAATAAATATGGCGTGTTTACTTAAAATATGCTACACGTCCTACTACTTATTAGAGCATCAAGTCCATCCTAATAAGCAGAATGTAGAAGGAATATAATTATATTGCTATTAATTGAGAATTACATATTGTTGGTGAATAATAAAGGTAACCCCGTTTGTCATCCACCATGCAGGTACAATTCCAATGTTAATTGTGGGTAAATTCCCATGGTATACCTGCCGACATTCCTGGGTAACAATAGATGTCTTGAAGGAAGGCATTCTCAAGTTGATGCTATCTCATTTCCCTTACGAGATTACTCCCTCTGAACTTTTTTCAACAAGTCGCAGAAGATTCTATTTAGCTTACTTGTAATTAAGTTAAGGAGACGCATAAATTACAAATTCTTTAGTGATCAAGATCGTATTTTCATAACAAAATTCAGATACACCTGGTTTATTTTTCCCATTTTACACTAATGTCTATTACATGTGCTATAATGTACAACTTAAAATAATATATTCAGACTATTGCAATAACTTTATTGTCGTAAATTTCTTTACGCACTTCATCTCTATAATTATTCTTTCTAAATGTTGACTCATGAATTCACTGTTATAAAAAAAAAAAAAAAAAAAAAAAAAAAAAAAAAAAAACTGCACTAAGCCGATATACTTTATTCACTAATGCCAATGTATTATGATGAGTCCTTACTTCTCCAATATTATTACGTGTCATTTGTTTCAATCAAGTTAATTATCTATCGGATCATTATTTGGTTATTGTTTAAATAGTTATTTGATAATAACATACTTTTTAGTAATGTAGCAAGGAAAATCGGGAGCTTTTAAAAACGTTTCAATTTCTTTCTCTTATATTTTGTTTAGGATTTATTTTATGAGATTACGATTTTTTTTTTTTTTTTTTTTTTTTTTTTTTTTTTTATTAATTTATAAAATATATTTTGGAATATATATATATATATATATATTTTTTTTTTTAAATAAAATCTTAACTTGTGTATAAGATTTGTAAATAACTTATTCTTTTTTTTAAATTATGAAATTGCTAGGCATTTCATTAGAAGTCAGGGAAAAAAAAAATAAAAATAAAAAAAAAAGACAAAAAAATCTGAAGCAAGTTGATATAAAGAAATTTGGCAATTATTTTCACTTTAAAATCATCTACTAAACGTATACACGAGTATAATTAGTACATAGTACAAAAAATTATTATAGTTTCTTTTTTACACGAACACTGAAATTATTTCGAATTAAAAAAATTTATTTTTCTCTACGCTATTTATAATATCTTAATCAATTTGCATATATTGAAATTGACAAATCTTATTCAACTTTGAACCCTTTGCCATCGTTACGTAATTTTTATGATAATTACGAAAACATTAGACTTCATTAAATTCGATTCGTATAAAAATTCTCTACTTTTAAAAATTCCAGCGGTTTCTTATTCACAGTAGTAACTATAATGGTGCGCAGCTCACAAATTTACATACGTTTATGTACAATTAAAGACAGAAGAGAAAAAAAAATTCTTTTACAGTCATGCAGTAGTTCCTTCTTTTAGAATAAACTATCTCGTATCTAGTTATATTGACTTCAATATACGATCAGCTTCACATTGACTCTTGAAGATTGACATTCGGTTTTATACTTACGTAAAGTCTCTTTCTATTATAAATACAATATAGAATTGAATCTTTATATTTTCGTTTGATTTTCAACATCATTACATCTGTCTATTAAAAATATTTCTTCTAACACTTCTGATCTTTTAAGGTAGTGATAATTCGGTTGTTATTGTTACTATTCAACTGTAGATTAAAATCATATAGAAAATCTACTTTATATATATATATATATATATTGTAGATTGCGTTAATATATTTATATTTGTAGGCATGTAAAGCAGCTAAAATGAATGACAGCTGAGCAAAAATCTTTATACAATACAATTTTTCTTTGTCATTTGCACCTATTATTATCTGTTTCCTATATCGACTATTTCCCGGATGTCTATAAAAATGAAAAATCGACAGTCGTTTATTAGTCATCTCACAGAGAAAATATATATATATATATATATATATATATATATATATATATAATATAGACACACACACGCACGCGCGCGCACACACATACCTTACAATCGTGTCGTGATAAATTATTACTCGATAAAATTTTTGTATTAACAACTTATGAATTAAGTCATCTACATATTTATTATACATAGATAATGCATTGCATTGTCCACATCACACGGGAGTTTATCTCTATTTTTTTTTTCCTTTTTCAAACATTTTGTATATGCATATGCGCATGCACGCGTATGTAAAATGTATACATTGCCAATGTATACGTGTGTGTACACACGCGTGCGCGCATGTTCTATTGCCACGATTGAAATCGGCCGTGGGATTCGTCTGCAACAGAACGGCTTCACCAGGTATGAAGTCAACAACATTTGAACATGCACAACTTTTCATAATTGGGAGACACAAGCGCTTTACTTGGAAAATGCTGATCATTAGAAAAATAATATTTTATTAATATTTAGTACAAATGAAAGCTTTGATGGTCGTCTAATAGATAAGAAGTTAGTCATTTTGCCGATCACTCAAGTATTCAAAGCTCAGAAGGTAAGCCCTCGGCTTATTTTCTACAATGAAGTTTTTGAATTGCATACGTAAGACGTTAAATTTTTAACTATCACACCTTGCTTCTGATAAAAGTCTCGCGAACAAAGTGCCAGTCATTTATAAAATGCAAGCAACAGATTCGCTTCAATTTTTTCCTTCATTAATCAATGATATAATTTATATAAAAATATGAGCACCGAGTATTATGCAGATGAAATATACGTCATCAAATGCAATCGAATCTCTGCTTAGAGAGTAAAGGAACCCCTGTTGTCCGCGAAGGCGAGCGATAATCATCGTGTCAAAGTATCGGCGACATGTGGGGCGGCTCCTTCATCGGATAGGCCTCGTTGATCAGGCAAGGGGGGGCGCCGCCGCCGCCGCCGCCACCGCCACCGTTGTCACCACCGTCCGTGGTCGCATCCACGTCCATCTCCAAGACCATCGCCGGCTCATCAAAGACCATAGCGTCCTGTTCGTCCGAGAGGACGTCCTCGTTACGGTTAAGACCCCAGTCGTCCGGGCTGTATCAGAGACCTGGCTGGGGAGGCTGATGATGGTTCCAGGGTACATCGGCGATGGCCGGCTGCATGGCCGCCTGGCCGTGGCCCATCGTCCTCGGTGTCCTCATGATCTCATTGGCCGGCAAGCAATGCTGTCTCGGGCCTGGCTCCGGTGTGTAGGTGAAGGTCAGCCCCGTCGCGTAGATGATGCCGTCGTTACGGACGAGGGATACCGGGACCTGGGTCGGCTGGTGTATCCAGAGCCACTCGCCCCGGAACTGCGAAATGTCCGGGACAACGCAGAGCATGCTCTCCTGGCACCTGTACATGGTCTCGGCCTCGACATCGCCGAACCACACCTGGAGATTCGGCGTGAAGTTGTCGCCGGTGAGCTCGAGCATCGCCACGTCGCCGCCGCCGTTGAGATTGAGACTGTGGACCAGGGGCACCGGGGTGACCGGCGAGCGTACCGGGCCCATGCCCTCGTAAAACGTATACTCGGCCCGGTCGGTGCTAATTATCGTCCAGCATGCCCCGTCGTTGATCATCTCTTTGTTGGCCTCCTTGGGGCAGGGCGTCGCCTGGAACTGAATAATTCGCTCCTGCGACAGGCAGAGATACATGTGGTCGGTGTCCTTCATATAGAAGGCGCACTTGTGCAGCTGTGACACGGGATCGTCGGCCTCGAGGCTCGCCATCTGCTTGTCGACCTTGCGTATGACCAGCCGTGGCAGCGCCATCCCCGTCTCGGAGCAGACGAGCTTCACGGTGCTACCGTAATGGACGTAGCCGTCGCGCACTTGAAACTCCTCGGACTCGCTCTCGTTGTCGTCGAGGAGGTGGATCGTAAAGGCGCCCCACTGCGTCGAGCTCGCGTGGAAGTTGTTGTTGTCGACGTGGAGGTAGCGAGTGCTGACCGTCTGGGAGCGCAGTCGGTTGAAGAGGGCGACCCGGGTGCCGCTCGCGATGCAGAGGTCCGCGTTCTTCAAGCTCTGCTTCTTCTTCGAGGGCTTCGATATGACCTTGATGCGCTTGCTGTGAAACACGCCGATGTCGTGGCCGTTGCCGTAGAACATCTTAACCGAGAGCATGAAGTGCTTGCGCTTGTCCGAGTCGGATATGTAGAGGGTCTTGGCGGCGCAGTACTGCTTGCCGTTGTTGAGGTCGAGCTGCTGCATGTCCTGGTCCGAGTTGCCGATGCCGATGAACGCGCAGAGCTGCGTCGACTGCTCGGACTCGCCGTCCCTGCGCATCTGCTCCTGCCTCATGGACCAGGCGTTGCCCTTGAGGTAGATGCACGGCGGTGGGCAGAAGAAGCGCTTCTCGTTGCCGTAGGACTTTTGGGCGACCTTCGCGTGGAGGATGACGACGACCATGTCGGCCTTGCCCTGGGTGCGCTTGTGCTCCGAGAGATAGTGTTTCATGGCCTCGCGGCTCAGCCGTTGTTCCTGTGACTGTTGCTGATGTTCGGGCCGATAGACGCTACCGAAACGCGGATAAGCCGACATAACGGCCGTCGGGGACGGAGGCGACTGCAGCCCGTGCGCCATAGTCGGTAAGCCGTACTGGCTGTGTGGCATTATTGCTGGCTTGTCTTTTCCCAGGAGGGACGAGTCTTGCTGGACATCTAAACCTTTGCTCCTTCCGTTTCACAGGGTTTGCTCATCGTGGCGCATCCCTCCTCAATTTCTTATCTATAAAGCAAACGAGAGACTCTTTAATGGTCCGACCGATCCTCTCTCCCCCTCCCAACCCCTCCTCACCACAGCCCTCAACGCCTAATGTTAACGCGAAAAAATCGCTTTCGCACTAACTTTGTCAATTGTCCTTGAGCTTAGCTCAATTGTCGATGATTTTTCGATTAAATCAAGCGACGGACGATGAGAGTGGCATTTCCTTTCGTTTGCTTCATTAAGTTCTGACTTGCTGACATGATAAAATCAGCATGCGCTAATGGAAAAATGTAGCGTAAAATATTTGAAGAGATCTGTACGAACCGTAAAACTTTTGTGCATATTGTGACGTGCATTACCAACAAGTTACGTCGTCAGATTTATTACTCGAGGAGCTCTATTCGGTATGAGATTGGCCAAGATCGGAAAGAATCTGTCTATTATTGTCATTCGAGCAATGGAGCGCTGAAGTATATGATGTTTATGGCAAAGCGAATAATAAACTCAACATCATTGATTGATTAGCAAAACAAATTTGCAAGAGATGCAATAATGTTTCTACATAAGAAGTTGTTAAAGTGAATTTAAACAAGAAATGAAGCATAAATTGAAATTTGAAATTTAATTAAAGAGATTATTTCATCGAGTGGCTTAAATTAGTAGGTAATTTACATCAAAGAACGTTCCAATTTCAATTAATACGTTACGTTGCGATAAATTTCACAAATATTATATTAATGTTGATCCTTAGCCAAAGCATTGTGAGGCCATATTATGTTATTTTATTACAATTGCTTTTAAGCATCAAAATTAATGACACCTGTGATTATAATACGATGAAATAACACTTTGATAAAATAGAGACTCGTATATTATTAAATAAGATAAGTATCAATGATTGTATAATGTCACAAAATAAATATTAAATTCAAAGCAATTTGTCGAATTGTTTACACTTTTCTTTATTGAATTAAAATTAATCTAGAATTATTCTATTACTTATTCAAAATTTTTCTGTAAAAAAATGTTTATTATAGAGCTCTAATAATGGAGAAAACTCCTTTGAATTGCGTGAGAAAAGTTTTTATTATCAGTTGCAGATAATTAGCCAAAGATATCTTGCTTCGAGCCACTGGCTGAGAATTGCTGTTCTTCGTACAGGAAAAAGGAAACGCATACAAGTCGTGGGAATAAAGCCATGCTCGTTCTTTTTGCATGAAATTAAATTACAACCGCTTTCTAAATATGTATAAATACTTTTATATCTACTATACAACGCTTATTATAAAAAAAATATCATTTAGAGCTCGTTCATATTGGATAAGGCAACGCGAGAGAAGAGTGAAAAAAGTTTATACCACAAAGAGACGTATGCGCTTGTCTTGTGTACAATGTTTTATGAGACAACTGAATTATGCTTTTAGATTAAAGAATAACTTTGCATTCTTATAGACAGGTCGACGACAATATTTGGTTTCAGTCAGATTACAACATTTTCAGCGTTTAAAATATTCCAATTAGAGGAGTCATTGCCATCGACCATCGACCTAGTCGATAATTATTTATCACTACGAGTAGGTAAATGATGGGCCACGGCACAGATTGCCTACAGTGAGGCACAGACGTAGAGCAAAGTCAATTCTAATAGCACACGAGACTCTTGCCAGTCCCCGTAATGAAAGCGATGATGGAAATAAAGTTGAAAACCAACGACGGCAGGCAATGCTCGTTGACAAAATAGTCCAATCAGCCAGTGATTGGCACGACGCATTCTCTATCAGTTGGGTCAAATTTTGTAATACCACCGCCTCGTTACCTTCCGCCGTTCATACATGATGTAAAAAAGAAACAAATGAAACAAACAACAAACGTAAGTAAGCAAATAAGGCTGCGAGAATGAATAAATAATAGGGCTAGTGATATTAATGAAAATTGACAATTACATTTACCTCCGGCAACAACAAATTTTAAAGCGATCAGGCTCGTAGTAACAGAATTATTGTGGACGAATTCATCTCTACACCCGTAAACAACAGGCATATCACAGACGTGTAAGATGTAGAGGTTAAGCGTGCTGGCATTGGCGTACATTAACAATTTCTCCCTACAACACATCCCGCGACAACACAACAGCACGTCTCTCCTTTAGGCAAGGACAAGACAGAAGGGGAGACGATGAGGAGGACGAGGAGGAGGAGGAGCAGGAAAAGGTAGAGGAGAAGGTGGAGGAGGAGAAGGAGGAAAAAAAAACCGGCATCTCCATCGTAAGGTCTGATTCAGAAAAGAGCAACGAAAACGAGAAAAGCGCAGTCAGCCAACCAGCCTCCGCCTCTTCTGTCGAACGAAGCTCGGCCAAATAAAAAGAACAATAATAAGCAAAGCAATAAGACAAGACAGATAGAGAGAGAGAGAGAGAGAGAGAGAGAGAGAGAGAGAGAGAGAGACAGACAGACAGATAGAGAGTGATGGGTGGAGCGGGGCGGGGGAAGTGGGAAAGAGGGCTGGGAGGATACGATACTGGCACGCGGTGACTTACCTCTCTTCTTCAGCAGCAGCGACAGCACTCCTCGTGGTGGCGACCCTCGTCCGCGCATATCCTCGTGTTCGCGTCTGCTAGTGGCCGGAGCCGCTCGAACGTTAGCCCCATTATACAGGCCGCATGACGTTGCGGCGCTCCTCTTCCCGTCGGACTGCTATGTTCCTGGCGGGACGGTCGAGCACCTCCGGCCGCCCTTGCCGAACGCGCATAACACCGCCGCGGCGGGGCCGTGACTGCGGGGGATGGCGGGAGGGACGCGCGCGGGGGACGTCGACGGGAAGGCCGCCTGGAGGCGCGCGTGATAGGCGGGGGCAGGCCGCTCGTCCTCCGATTTCTCAAGCACGCGCTCGCACCACGAGCCGATCCATTCAAAAAACACCTGTTCACTTTCCTCCCGATTTCCCGAGCAGTCTCGCCAACTTTCTCCCCGAGGGCGGCGGCCGGGCGCAGGCGCGCGCACCAGCGCGGCACCGTGACGGAACCGCGCGAAATTCGAATCGTCGCAAGTCTTCCTCGGGCTGAATGGAGTCTGTTGCTGCTGTTGTTGCTGCTGTTGTTGCTGCTGCTGCTGCTGCTGCTGCTGCTGCTGCTGCTGTCGACGCTTCCTCCTCCTCCTCCTCCTCCTCCTCCTCCTCCTCCTCTTCTCGTTCTCGTTACCACCACCTCCTCCTCCGCCTTCTCCTCGTCCTCCTCGTCGTCGTCCTCCTTCTCCTCCTCCTCCTCGTTATCCTCCTCCTCCTCTTCCTCCTCCTCGGCCTCCTCCTCGGCCTTCTCCTTCACCGCCTCTTCCTCTTATTCCTTTTACTCCTCTTTGCCCGCCAATTCCCGCTTCTTCTGGTCGCCCGGTACTCGAATTAAGCCGAAAAGAGGACCCGGGGCCTGTCGCGTTCCTAGGACCGATCGGCTGCGATCAACGCGACTAATAGTTCAAGCTACCCGTGAATGCCTATTATCACCTCCCGCACCTGACGGCGCTCTATCGCTGCTAGCAGAAGACACGGGGCGTGAGCGCGGAAACCTGTTTGACGAGGACGAGGACGAGGACGACGACGACGACGACAGGAGCAAGCCCGACCATTATTTTCTTATTCAAAACGGGGCGTCAAAGGGGCAACGACGATGTGGGAACGTATCGCGCCCTGCGCTGTCTCGGCCCGTCGAAGACGATGAGCGTACGACCGAACGTCCGTGAGACGCAGCGTCAAACTGAAACTGAAAAGCAGTGCACGCTGTTTGTAGGGACCGGATCGTGTGCGCGCCTGGCGAGAGAGAAGTGCTATATGGTCCGGTGAGCGTCAGAGGAACGGAGACGGTGATAGAAAGTGGATAGAGGCGGTGGCGGCGGTGGCGGTGGCGGTGGCGACGGCATCGGCGATGGTAGCGGCGGAGGTGGCGGTGGCGGCGGGGGGCCGAGAGAGAGAGAGAGAACGAGTGAGAACACGTTAGCTAGCGGAGGGAGGTAGGTAGGTAGGTATTATGGGTTGTGTATGTGCAGGGGGGGTATGCACGTGTAAGGGGCTGCCTGTTGGTGGGGTCCAGTGTGCCTCGCGCAATGCGCGCGCGCGAAACGCCAAGTTTATTACAGCAGCGCATAAAGTGGCTGCAGTTCCTATTGTTTTACTTGCGTTGTACAATGGGCCAACTCTCGACCCCAACGCCGCGCGCTCTAACTTCTC